TGGTTTGATCTCGTCTCTCCTCCCCTCCCGACCCCCGCGGCGGCGAGGCCACACCATGTGAAGGTTAGCGCCTGGACCTCCCGAGCCGCCGCCGAGAAAGATGGGGGATGCTGCAGACCCCCGGGAGATGCGAAAGACCTTCATTGTTCCAGCCATCAAGCCCTTTGACCACTATGATTTCGCCAGGGCCAAAATCGCCTGCAATCTGGCCTGGTTGGTGGCCAAAGCCTTTGGGACAGGTAAGAGCTATCTTCTTTTCGCCCTTTTGCTTTTTAGGATGTGCTCATCTCCAGGTTTTGTTTCCGATCATCGTATTCACCATGCGTGTCGTCTTGTCCTGGTTCAGGGCATCTGATGGGCCACCTTAGGAAGGGAAGAAAGGAAAGAGAAAGAAATTGAAAAAGCAAGCGTGATCTTAAAAGGAAGGATCCTTGAATGTCGGCTGAGATTTGGCTAGACTTCTTTGATTAGGGATCCAAAGTGTTTTGTTGGGTTTTTGTTCCCCCTCTGTCAGCAGTCTTGTCATGTTTTTCACATAGACTGGTTTTCATTTGTGGTATTTTCCACATTGTGTTGCATACATTTTCCTCTCTGTCATGAGTGGGATCATACCCCCAAGAAATCCGAGTTTATTTCTTTATTATTAGAAGCTGGATGTAGTACCATATTTTGACATTGGTGGTGATGGCTGCTCTTCAGGCTCCGTGGGATGTAAGGTGACCTGTGGGGAAGTGCTGTATTAGTTTTTGCTGTCTTTTAGCATGTCTGAAGATAGACTTCAAGCTCTATTAAACCAGTTCTTTTTAAAACCAGTATTTAGCTTGCTGGCTGTAGGGAGCTGCTTTCATTTGATGATGTCAAATGATACATTTTTTTTTTTTTCCAAACAGTATTCTGACTTAGTAAATTTAAGAGAGGCAAACTCCTTGCTTTGGATTTTTAAAAAAAATATAAAATAGTTTTTTGACGGTGAGTGCTGTTAGCACAGACGTTGTAGAGAGTACAGTAGCATTGAAACACTCCTGTTACCTCGTCTTTGTAAAATAACAGGAAAAGGGCCTCCTGTTGCAGTTCCTTAGATTTTGCTTTGTGGAATGCTAACAAATTAACGTTATTTTTGTTTAAAGATTCTCCTGTGTGGTAATTTTTAAGAGTAAATTGCAAAATTTCTTTTCCAAAGGTAATGAGTTTTGGATACACGGGATCTTTGTTGAAAAGTTTTGTAGTGTTTACAAACTTTTCTCCAGATGTTAAAGACAGTTGTTTTTTGGTTTTTTTTAGAAGACGGCTTATTTCCCATTTTATGCCTATGAAAATATGTGGGTAGATGCTGTAGTTTTGTCTTAACTGCTCACATTTATATGCAGCCAAGCCTTTGCAGGACTTGCACCTTTTATTAAGTAGCAAGTGAATCTTAATGTTGGAAAAACTGTTAGTCTTGACACTGATACGATTTTGTTTATGATAAGATTAATTTTATTTGAATTTTTTTGTCTTGATATTGAAGTAGGAAGATACTACAGGTTTTACAGCTGACATTAGGATTAAACCTGTAACAGTTACTTTGACATTGTTTCAATTTTAAAGATTTACTTGGAGTCAGATGTCTAGGGGTAACACGAAAGAGGATAAAGTGTTACTTTAAAGAAAAAAAAGTTGCATTACTGACATAAGCCTTTCATTTCAATTTAAGTAGAATACTGAAGATCCATTTAAAGAGGAAATAAAGGATATTTAACTGTTTATAAAAGATGAACATTTATGTAGTAAAAGTAATGTCTGCCAAAATGGAAAGGAGAATCACAAACATATTTTGTTTCTTTCTGAAATTGAGAGAGTACTTGTAGTACCAATATCTAAATTTTGCCCTAGTTTCTTCACAAAAACTATTAACCAGAAAATGTCCTCCTTTCTGGCTGATATGCAAGCCAAGTTACTTGATTCTGTACCACTTGTTGAATACACATTGAACCCACTTGAATAAGAAAGGAAGTGAAAGGGATCTATCCATAGAATCTGTGATCTGCCAGACATTGTACTATACTCACAAAACTATAGGTTTGAAATTCACCAGGATTCTGTGATGTGCATGTTCACATTTCCGATTTTAAACAACAAAGGGAATCCAGTACGGAGAACTTAAGTGCTTTTCCTACTAAGATACACTAAGTAGCTGAGATGAGTTTTGATGATGAAGCCATTATATATACGCCTACTGCTTAATGTTGTTGTGTGCCATTCCAGTTGGAACCTACCCTATTGACCCTCCTGTAGCTGACCCTCCAGCGGTTTTTCAGAGGCCATAAATCATATGGGAAGAGATTGCCTGTTCCCTCAGAGGAATGGATTTGAACTTTTTGCCTTTGGGATTATAGCACAGCTTAGCACTAGGCCTCTGTAAGTGCTTAATAACTCTAGAGCTCTCTACAGGTTAATAAGTGGCTTAATTTATTCCTGCATATATTGTCAGTATTTTTCTGATTTTGCAGAGGTGGGATCAGGTTCAGAGAGATTAATTTACCAAAGATTAAACATCTAGCAAGTGGTGGGTTCTGTACACTAGCTCAGGTTTTTCTTACTGATTCTGAGCTTGTTGCTTTTCACACTGTACTGTTCTGCAAAGTAATCCCTTTTTTTCCCCTCCAAGTGTGGAAAATATGCAAATAGTACATGCTAAGTAAAGGCTTAAGTGTCTTTTTTTCTTTAAAGAATGGCAAGATTTGAACCTGCTCTTGTACGTAAGTTAGATGATCATTGTTGCTACTTGATTAATTAATTACTTGGTTAATTTGCCTGAGTAGTTGGAATATATCAAAAGCCCATATTCAAAATAGAATGACAAACATAAACTTAAGAGAGTGGTCTTTATCTTGGTGTCATTGCTATGGAATCAGCATGGACTCTTAGCTCATCCTATATTGGGCTTCCAAGGCTGTAAATTGCAAAAGAGGAGACAGATCATGGTAGATTCAAGCCACAAGAGAAGCTTGACTTTTGAATTAATTCAGCTTAACTCTGTGGGCTGCACCACCAGGGCTCCCTAAGAGAGTGACTTAGTAATGAGAAATTAATACACTATTATTGGTTGGTGTTTGTTTTTTTGTGGCTTTTTTTTTAAATCATCAGTTTTCTTTTTTATTGTGGTTTTAATGAGAGCTTACAGAAATATTGAATTTTCATTCATGTGTTGTTGGATGTTTATTTAGATGGAGTTGGAAAGGTTCTAATTTCTTCTGAGGGAAGTATTTATTTGCTGCAGTGAGCAAGTGTGCTGTGAAGTTTAATTGTTGTTGTTATGTGCCCTTGAGTTGGAACTGACTCATAGCTGACCCTCCAGCGGGTGTTTTTTGGTTGTTGTAAGGAGCCTTCAAGTTGAGCACAACTCATAGTGACCCAGTGAACAACATATCTGAAGCTTGGCCTATCCTGTGCCATCCTGATCATCTCTGATATATGTGAGTCCATTGTTAAAGTCACTATATCAGTTCCATCTGGTTGAGGAGCCTTCTCTCTTTTGCTCACCCTCCACCTTTCTAAGCATGTTTTCTTTTTCCAGTGAATTACCTTTCCTGACAACATGCCCAAAGTATGTGAGATAAAGTTTTCCCATCCTTGCCTCTAAGGAGCTTCCTCTTTGCACCTTCTCTAGGATAGATGTATTAGTTCTTTTAAAAGTCCATGGGATATTCAGTACTTTTAACTACAGCTCAAAGGCGCTGATTTTTTTAAATCATCTTCATTCATTGTCCAGTGGGTTTTAAGAGACTCTAAATCATATGTGAGCTGTTTGCCCATCTTTCTCCAGGGGAGTAACTCATGTATTTGAACCACCTGTCTTTGGGTTACCATCTTTAGGATATGGTAACATTTCTTCTTGGACAGTAAAGTTTAGGATCTTCAGGCACTGATTTAGTCATTTCTGTCTGAAACTTTCTAATGTTTGTTATATTAAGAAGTAGTCAGTTTTAAAACTGTGATTTGAAAAGCCATTTAAAGATAGCTAGAAAGTAGGGGGAAGATTTCCTCAGCTTGGAGTTTTATGTCAGGATTTTTTTTTTAACCATTTTCTTCTCTTTACACTAAAAACGTATTTCATATTCTCCAAATAACCCAAATCTTAATATTTTACTTTGTGGAAGAATGCAAACAGGATTTTACATAAAGAATAAATTTGTGCAGATGGATTTGAAATGCACACCCTAATTGCTGTAAGTAAATTGTAAAAGAAGTTAAACCACATGTGCTGTCCTGAGTTCTGACCACTGACCCAAAGGCCGTGCTTCTCTGCCATTTTGAGTCCATCAGCCTCTCCTTGGGAAAAAAATGGCCCATCTCCTCTCATGCAAATGACATCCTTGAAAACCCAATGGACAGGGTCAGTTGAGAGTCATTTCTTTCAGTGCCCATGAGTTTGTCATATTTTAACAGTTTAACCCACTTAAGCAGTCATATTACTGTGTTTGCTTTCCGTGTAGTTGTTTTAAATGCTTTGTGTAAAATGGTATGTACAGGATCTCTTTTGACACTCACTCGTCCTTAACCAAATTCTTGAACTTGGAATTCTTAGCATGGGCTTTAAGGCCCATATCTTAGTCTCAATTAATTATTTCAACCTCATCAACTGTTATTGCCCTTCTTATGCCATTGAGGGAGCTCTGGTGGCCTAGTGGGAAGAAGCTGTGCTGCAGTCTCCTCCCTGTGATTTACTGCTCCAGAAAACCCATTGGAGGGTCAGCTATTGAGTTGGTTCCAACTCAGTGGCACACAACAATATGCCATTTAGTTTATCAAGATAAAACTATGTGCTATTATAAATATACCTTGGTATTTTCTCTGTCCATTCATTTGCTCATTTTCAAAAGCCTACGTTAAGATTTTGTGTTTTTATTTATATGAAAATTGTGACAGCAGTGAGTAAAATTGTGGTTGAGGGAGACTATGGGTAGAGTCTTTGGAGAAGGGTACTGTGTTTGGTAGAGTCGGTGAAAAAAAAAAGATGATCCTCAATGGGATGAATTGGCACAGTGACTACAAAAATGGGCTCAAACAAAGCAATGATTGTAAGGCCGGTGCAGTTGACAGCAGTGTTTCATTCTGTTTTGTTTAAGGTCATTAAACTGATGCTGTTGTGTACCATTGAGTTGGAACTGACTCATAGCTGTCAGTCCAGGGGGTTTTTAGGGGCAGTAAATTGCATGGGAGATTTCCCCATCTTCGTGGGGAGCATCTGGTGGATTCA